GGGTGAATATGCCCCCTAATTGGGGTAAGCTCTGTCTCTTATACACATCTAGATGTGTATAAGAGACAGATGTATTAGCAGTCATTTGTGTGGTTGTAAAATAATTAATAACCTGTCAAATAACGTCCTGCCATAGGCCTATAGGCCACGCCTGTGACCTAGGCCCTAGGCCTAGTTTATATTTATTAAGTAAACAAAAATGGGGAGTTGTGATGCTTAATTATAAAATCTAGGGCAATGTCAGAAACCTAACTAATGTGTGATATGACAAGGCCTAGGCCCTGATGTTACAGAATATTCTCGGCCCCACCCCTAACTAGGCCTAACCCCACACCCTAAACCATATAGTAACATTAGGCTCCTATGGCCAAGAAGCCCTAGTACCCCACATGCATGCCTCGTCAGTTGTCATCTCTCTCTCCGGCAGTGAAAACCGGCCAGACACGACCCTTATCATTTAATAAATCATTAGGCCTAGGCCTATACTATTATTATTTCTGTATTATTATTGTTGCTATCATTAATATAAAAATAATAATACCTTCTCCCTTTCGAAATTCTCCAGAAGATGCATTAAATGAAGTTAATTAAGTACATCTTTAATAGGCCTAGGCCTAGTAGGCCTAAGTACCATTAATCCTTTGCGCCATGGTGGATCTGTCTCTTATACACATCTAGATGTGTATAAGAGACAGGGTATGTATTCGGGAAAATAAATAAAATGAAATATTAAATTTAAATTCTTACATAAAATATATACATATGAAAGTCACTTTATGATAGATACAATACACAGGTACAAATAGGCCTACCTGTTTGTCTACAACTTATCATTAGGCCGACCAGCCCTCCATAAACTAACGTTAGAATACCGCACTTTCAGCGGTAAAGAACAATTACAACCTCATAAAAAAGGCAACTAATCCGTTTACCTATAATTGAATCCAAGGACACCAGTGTTAAACACTCAGTACTTATCCTTGATAATGAGTTAATCCAATTAATATAGTGAGATAATCTTAAGCCCCTCTCCCACTAGGGGTTTTTTCAGCATACGAGTTACAAGAGAATGCCGAGTTGCTAAATCGGCAAACTCGGCAAAAACTCGTAGGACAATTTGGAAAACTCGGAGAGGACTCTTACCTACTCGTAGCAGCTCTGAACTCGTGCACTAATTTTGAACATGTTCAAAATTATCGTCACGAGTAGATAACTCGTAGTAAACTCAAAGAACTCGTAGAGTACTCGGGGTACTCCTACCTAGCTCGTACACTACTCTGGATACTCGTCAGCGGTTTTGTCATCTACGAGTTTGATGCGAGCACCCAAAAACGAGTACGAGTAAGTAGGAGCGCACCGAGTTGGCTCGTACCTAACTCGTATCTAATTCGGTACAAACTTGTTACGCTCGTAATAATCTCGTAGTTAACTCGGTGCTCTGCTCGGCATAATTCCTACATAACTCGTAACCAACTCCATAAAGTCGTACCTCACTCGTAGCTAACACGTAATAAGCTTGTATAGGTCCTTTCCAAAGATCACAAGTTTTAACTCGTAGAAATCGTACGACTCTTAGGTGAAATAAACCTAGGTGGGAGAGGGGCTTTAGTCGGTGCCTATTACCAATTGTTGTCGCACTCAAATTTTCAAGTTGGGCATCTGACAGCGTGGAGATTTCGTCACTGGTAATCTGAAAAGAATAACACAGAGAAAAAGTCTCTGACACATGCAATGCAGCACCCCTACACACAAACACAAGTTGGCTTTTACAAAGAGTTCAAGAGAATAAAAAAAAAAGCAACTTCAATTTAAATTTTTAAGAAGTCACTTAAAAAATACATTTTCGGCCATTTATTAGCAGTCATTTGTGTTTGGTTGTAAAATAATTAATAACCTGTCAAATAACGTCCTGCCATAGGCCTATAGGCTACGCCTGCTAACCATCAATTAGTCCAGGCCGTGGCCCACGCCTGTGACCTAGGCCCTTAATATAATGAAGGTCAGTGATATGACAAGGCCTAGGCCCTGATGTTCATTTCATTTCATTTATTTCGTCAAACAGAAAACAAAACATACAGAAATAACAGTACCATTACCAAAAATCAGAGACAGGATAAACAAAAAGCAAACTAAATTGCTACAGAATATTCTCGGCCCCACCCCTAACTAGGCCTAACCCCACCCCCTAAACCATATAGTAACATTAGGCCCCTATGGCCAAGAAGCCCTAGTAGTACCCCACATGCATGCCTCGTCAGTTGTCATCTCTCCGGCAGTGAAAACCGGCCAGACAGGACCCTTATCATTTGATAAATCATTAGGCCTAGCCTCTAGGCCTATACTATTATTATTTCTGTATTATTGTTGCTATTATTAATAATATAAAAATAATAATACCTTCTCCCTTTCGAAATTCTCCAGAAGATGCATTAAATGAAGTTAATTAAGTACATCTTTAATAGGCTTAGTAGGCCTAAGTACCATTAATCTTTTGCGCCATGGTGGATACGCCATGGTAGTACGGCGTTGCGACCATGCAACTAAACTTGTATAGGCTCATTCCCACAGCCGCCCAAATTTTTTCATTTGACCCAATGTCAAGGGTTATATTTTATTTATAATTGCGCCAAATGCCAATACTACGCCGAATGTAAATGCGCCGAATGGTAAAAGAGCCGAACGTAATGGTAAAAGAGCCGAATGTAAATGCGCCGAATGGTGAAAGGGCCGAATGAAAATGCGCCGAATGGTAAAAGAGCCGAACGTAATGGTAAAAAGGGCCGAATGAAAATGCGCCGAATGGTAAAAGAGCCGAACGTAATTGTAAAAGGGCCAAATGAAAATGCGCCGAATGGTGAAAAGAGCCGAACGTAATGGTAAAAGGGCCGAATGTTAATGCGCCGAATGGTAAAAGAGCCGAACGTAATGTTAAAAGGGCCGAATGTAAATGCGCCGAATGGTAAGCTGTTACCGAAGGCAGCGATGGCGTTCCATAGCTACCCACTATCAATCATCCTTTGCTACCATTACAGTACTTCATGAAATGAAGATCAAACTTCAAACTCAGGTAAGTTCTCGTTTCTTTCCATTTTGAACACTTCTGTTAGCTTTTTCCAATAAAGGAGAGAGTCACAGATGCTTTTCTTCTCATTTTATTGCTCAATCAATGTGTTTATAATAATAATATTTTTTTTATTCCCCTTCCTGCATCCGCACCTGAGAACCCGATATAGGCCTAGACTAATAATAATATACGATTTTCTAGATTTCCTGTGCATCTACCTTTAGGGCCGACCAAACGCGATAATGTGTGCCTAGCTTACAAAAGCCTAGCTAAGGCGCTATGTTATTTTGGTCCGTAAGCAAAAACTACATCATAGTAGCCCATATAGAATCAATCTCTTTTTGAATTTTTTCATGAACTTGGAACACATGTTCATTAACAGATATTTACTATCAAATGATATAAAATGTTGTTATTAACATTTTTTATTATTTTTTTCAATTGCCTCATATTTCTGCAATCGCACACTGCTGTCTGTAGCATCCATAGGCTTTGCGGTCGTAATATGTATTCGTAAACTGATTGTGATCCACGGGCCAGGCAAGTCCATTACATTAGCTTATTATTTACTATTTATTTAGGCCTCGTACTATATAGTACTAGTATATAGTGGAAGCGTGGTGTCAGTTGTGCAAAAATTGTAGGGTCAAAACCACTAAAAACTGCCAATTCACGTTTCAAAAATTTCGGGAAAAAAAATCAAATCAAAATTGTCTTAATAACTCAAAAAATTAATGGTGACAATTTGAATAATGATTCAGAAAAATATGAATACGTAATCTTGTCACCAACATTAGGAAACACATATACATATACTTTTTATATTATTCCCATGATATTTGTTCCAAACTCTTTAGTTACGAACCAAAACATTACCACTTGTAGGCACTTTTAACCTGCAATAAAAAGGTTCTTAGTTAAATATCCAAAATGTAAAGGTCAAAACTGATAACAAATGTTACGAGGATAACGTAAGTTACATCTGCAACAAACAAAAGCACTCGTGATTAAAAATATTCCGAAATTGTTAAGTGCCAACATCTTCAACCTGTCAAAAACATTTATCTACGAAAACATCGAGTATTTGATACCAACATTTAACCAACTAAATAAAAATACTCCTGTTTTAAAAACACACCCAAGTTTTTAATAATAGACAAACATGCTACCAACGAACTTTTGGATCTGTAATCTAAACGCAAGACCACATAATTTCATTAACTTCTTAGTCAGCTTGAATCTAAGCTCTTGTATCCATGGTATGATATCTATAAGAAACTATATATCATGGTATGATATCTATAAGAACTAACAAAAAGTGTGTTACAAATAGTGTTGCTATTAAATTACTACTCTTGGGTTACATGGAAAAAGGCATATTCGTTTTTGCTGGCCACCACAAAAATAATCACTAAATTAATAAAAGCCTGTCCTATCCTTGCCGTTGTTTAATACATAGGCCTAGGCCTATATTATTAGACCTTTTATGTTTAATCATTTATTTAAGATTAGGGCTGTACGACAAATCTTACTCCGCTCACTGTGTGTGCAAGACGATGCCGGTGGCAGTGGTGTTGTATTTTTTTTATGACTAATAAATAAGGTAGTTATAAGGTACTTTAGATGACACATGTCCCATCATTCACCTCCACTGGATTTTCCCTTTCCACCATCTTTAATTGCCAGATCATAACATAGAGTGTCTTTAGACACAAAAACCAGCACTCCTGGCCTAGGTCATCTCAGTGGATACAGTAGTTTAGGGCGTTGGCATTTTGCATTTTGGTTTCATCGCATCGTCATTGAAATGGAAATTCCAATGCTATAAATAGATGACTGCTTCACTGTTTGTATAGTAGTTGTACCTTCTATTCTTAACCAACCTGTAGATTATTGTACTTTTTACAGTTCAGTAATTCACTATTGAACTTGGTATCCTAAGTGCAGTGAATCAGATCTGAAGCACATAAGATTTTGAATCAAATTTTGATTTTGAAAAAGATATATCTTATTAAGGATATCACCCCGTAACCCTCTTGGAATCACTATTCTATCTCCATACAAAAATAATCCATCCTGTACTGACAAGCTACCTTGAGCCTCATGAAAACGTTTTACGTGATCAGGAATGTCACGATAATATTTTGGCCAACCATTAAGTGTATAATTAATAACAAGCAATAGCTCTTCATCTTTAGATGTCATATCTCGTATTTGATCCATACGATTTGATGTAATTGGGACTACAGATATTACATGCTCAACATGATATTCAATTACTTGTAACTGACACTTATCACTATCATTCACATTTTTAAGTGGTTTTCTCGACAAAAGGTCTGCCACTACCAAATCTTTACCAGGCTTGTGCTCTGCAATAGCATTAAATCTCATAAATCGCAGCAATAATCTTTGACATCTGATTGGCACTTTGTCAATATCCTTATCATTAAACAATGGAATCAGCGGTTTGTGACCACTCTGCAACTTGATTGAGTCCTAGAGACATACGCAACAGGATACCAATCATTGTCATGCATCTGAAATATTGCTCCTCCAATGCCATAGGAGGAAGCATCTGTACTTGCCATTGTAGGTAGTTTCGAGTCATAGATTTTAAGAGTAGGGGTTTCCGATAATGCTTTCTTGACATCCTCAAATGCCTTAATCTGTGCTTGGTCCCATCTCCAAACTGTACTCTTTTGAGTAATTCATTCAATGAGTACAACATCTGTGCCAGGTCTTTTAGATAACGACCTAAGTAATTAACGCCTCCTAAAAAGGTACGCAATTCGCTCTCATTTTCCGGTGGTTCCATATTTAAGATCGCAGTGACGCGATTAGGGTTAGGTCTTACGCCCTCTTTTCCAACTATTTGACCCACAAATTATACTTCCGGCTTTCGAAAAGAACATTTGTCTAAATTTAGTTTCATTCCTACTGCATGGACTCTGTTAAGCACCTTAGACAATACCCTATCATGGTCTTCAACATTTTTACCACCAATAATCACATCATCCATGAAAACATCACACTGTGGAATATCCATAATTAAATTTGACATCTCGCGTTGGCATATTTCAGGTGCTAGTGACACACCATTGGGTAATCGCGTATAGCAATATCTACCAAAAGGGGTCATGAACGTAGTTAATAACTGACATTTCTCGGAAAGACGAAATTGATGGAAACATCCACTAAAATCTAATGTACTGAATAAGTACAGTCAGTCATTTTAGTAAGAACAGAGTCCGTGGTTGGCATAGTGTACCGCTCACGTTTAATTTGTTTATTTAATTTACGATAGTCCCCGCATATGCGTATACGCGCCTTGCCGTTTTTTGTGTCTTTCCGGTTAACTGGAATCATGGGACTACACCACTCTTTCGGTTAAGTGACCTTACGAATTTTATGTTCAGGCTCCATTAAATTTAACTCAGCTTTAATTAAAAGGTATGGGACTCTATGTGGAGTATTAACCGAATATGGAATAGCATTATCATTGAGTTGTATGTCTATTGTTTTACTTTTATATACAACATCCGTGCCGAACAATTCTTCCGTGGTTGACGTGTTATGACATTTGCGGTTATTTTGACATTTGCGGGTAGAATGTTTTGACATTTCTGGTTATTTTTACATTTGTGTTGGATTTTTACATTTGTGGGCTCTACAGGGTCTCGGATATTTGATGAATAATGGCGAATTTTTATTACTTATTTGATATGCATCGAGTTACTATGACTTTATGTAGGCTATGCTTTCTAATGTTGAAGTCAGCTTCCAAAACCAAAACATTTTGAATAAAACAAAAAATAAAGAGTATGCAATATAACCATTTAATTTATTTTCAAATCCTCATTCTTGAAAGTGAAAGGGGGGAGGGGGCTGGGGGGATATGCCTCCCCGACGGGGGGATATAGCTCCCCCAACCCCCCTCTGGCGCCACCACTGCTACCCGTATTTCTTGACTGAGAAGTCAATGGGAGCTGTAATTTGTAGGCAAGGAGATGGTGCTACCCTTAATTCGTTTTAAGGGAATTTATGCCCACAAACCTTGTAGTTATTAATATTTTGGTTATAACAGAAAATGTTTATTTTTTGGTGACATCACACTCGCGCTATAGTTAGCATGCATACGTCATAAGCTAGGTTACGTCACTTTCCCGCATGCTTTTTTCATGGAGAAACAAACATCACTGCTTGGCACATGAATGCCTTGCCAAGCTTGTAGGGCTACAAGAGCTGCATAGTTTGCACATAATGCTTAGACAAGGTATGTCTGCAACTGAATTATTATTAGGCCCTAGTTAATTTTTTCACTTATTTGAATTTATTTCTTTCGAAAGTGTACTTTCTATAATTGCACTGTCTACTTAGGCCAGGCCTAATCTTATTATGCCTCATCAGTAGGCTAGCCCCCTCTCCCACTCTACAGTTAGACGTTTGCTAGGCAACAGAACGCGATTGCACCTTCCTTCCGAAGTGTTTATGTAATATTTGCATATTGTCAGAACCAGCTGCGTGTATTCCTTTGTGAAAATGTCTGTCATAGTCTGAGTGTCATTTCTGGCCATCCAGAGGTTCCTATTAAATAATTCTCATTTGGAAGGGCAACACCTTCAAAAAATCTTCCACAAGCTCCGGCCCATGAGCTGAAGTCCCCGTGTCAGACAGCTCGGCCCCAGAAAATATACAGTATCCTATATAAGCGCAAATATGCTAAAGCCTCGATGCACTTACCAAAAAAATGAAACTGCCGGATTAACACTTGAGGTCTCCCTGGTTTCATTTGTTGCCATGTTTACATCACCATCATCAGTATTTCAGGAATGCCCGCATAGGAATCTTGGCCCTCGCAGAGGTCTGGCTAAAACCATTTAGTCAGGAAAAATAACTTTATTTTGTATATAAAAATAAATTATTCATTCTTATTCCATTGCCTTTAATGAATTTTACTTCAATTGTACAAAAAAGTTTTTGTCAAGGCTTGTGATTTAATATAGCAGTACTGTAATTAGGTTTAACACGTTGGCTGCCAGCGACGAGTATACTTGCTCACAGTGTGTTGCTGAGGGCGCCAGGGACGAGTATACTCGTCAAAATCGGGGTAACATTCTAGCGTTTATAACTTCTTTGTTATACATTGTAGAACCACAGACTCAATGGCTGGTAGTTCGGGGAAGATAAACCTAGATCTTAACGTACATATGACGTATGTATGTTTGTTGTGTTATGTTGCCGGTAGTACACTCGAGCGGCACAAGTGGGGGCGCCCTTTGAACATATACTAACCCATGCAAAAAACGGACGAGATAACTCGCACTTGGCATAGTCAATAAAACGTTCTATCACAGTGCCGCCGACGAATATACTCGCCCCCTGATATTTTCCCGCCAATTTATTAGACACATCATTTTGATGACGTATGACTAGATAAAATTTCAAAAAAGTATGTTTGTATGCATGTAAACTTGTTTTGGCATATGGGAAGGAACCTTAAAAAAATGTCTGGCAGTCAACGTGTTAAGGACTTGCGCAGTTGAAACATTGAATCATGCCATTAATAACACTGCATGTTTTGTTGTGTTGTACTGTGGAACCTTTGACAAAAGCAACTGATAAGCAAAATTTAAGTAAATTGTTGTGATCTTGAAATTAACAAATATCTTAATTATTCTTAACTCTTTATTGAAATAATTTTAGTGTGAAAGTTTGTGAAGCACATCAGTTGGAGAGAAGAACACATAAGAAATATGAAGGAAGAAGGTAAAATATGAACAATTTTTTGTGGCAGAGATTATTTATTTATTTATTTAGCATCCATTCAAATACAACAATTTACAAAACGAAGACATACATAGGCCTAATTTAAGAATATTATTTATGGCAAATGCTATCACAGCATGAAAAAACAAAATGAATCTCCTCATTCGTTGCAAGAGTATTATTTTACAGTTATTATAAGTCCAAAATTAAATCACAGGATGTTTGTAGTTACTGCCGAGGATAATAATCATCATACATATTATGTACTGGCACTAGGATATACCATACCAACCAGGCCTGTTATCACCAGCCTGTTTCACAAGTTTGGTTGAGCAATCAGTACCATTAAGGGTTATTTTCTACTTTATTACCTATAGAGATATATAGTCATGACAAGTCCCTCCCTGCTCAGGGCCCTGGTCGAAGCTTAATACTCACAGTGCAGCCTATGCATATGTAGCCTACCATACTCTAGCAGCATTCCAGAGCCTAAATAAAATACATGAAGATTGCCAAAGTAATTATAAATCATTTACAAAAAAACATAGGCCTACTGCCTTACTTTACTTTGGGTCGCTGTCTAGAAAACATAACTCTCTCAATATACTGTGTTCAATGAGCGCACTGGGGTTTACGATGTTGATGTTTACATTTACTACCCACTATATGTCATGTTCCAGTAATAGCTAGAGTCGCCAATTCGGTCTATTGCCCAGCTCACCTTTCCCTGTAAGGATCAAATTTAATAATCTATTAAAGTAATACATAATAATACAATTTTCATTATAATTGGGTATACTAAATTGTATCATCATTCGGGTCTGAATTTTACACAAAAAATAGGGAGAGTACTGTATTTGTTGAATTGGCATGAAATAACCCTAATCATTTTTTAATCAATTTTAATAAATTTTTATTAAACATTCATGTTTAGTTTGATATCTTATTGTTTTGGTATTAATTATCAATATCAATTATCTTAAAAATATGTCTTTAAATCATAAGAAAATATCTAATCAAGTATATCGAAGTTGACTAAATTTTTTGTCATTTAGTTACCGTCATTTAGTTACTGGAGTCTTGTTAATAAAAATCACCATATATTTATGATAAATAATTTTTTTTCAAAATAAAAGGTATTACATTCAATGTTGTTATACCCTTAGGATTGCTCTTGATACTGTATAAATAAAATTAGGCCTCTAAATTCACAGATTTTTTATTAAATGTACAATAGGTATAAAATGCATGTTGGATTTACGTCATTTACAGTAGTTACCGCTCATAATATTATAATTTGTTTTAATAACGGAAAATTATTTTCACAAAAAAACTCATTCTGTATATGTAGGAAGCTATTTGTTATAAAAAAAATGTATTTGTTTTAGATTATTGGCAAAATTACCTTGTGGTACAGTACATGTGTTTGAAAATACAAATCTGTGTCAGAATGTCATTTAGTTACCGTGGAATTGGCCTAATGCATTACACCATGGGACATCATTTTTTTTTGCACTCTGACATTTATATTCATGAGAAATGAAAAACTTAAAAATTTCAGAATTCAATACTTGTTTGTTTTTCTGTAGCGGCAGTTTAAACTTAAGCGGCGGGCGTGGCCCAAAATAATGCGCCACAAAATTGAAAATTGATTTTCATATGCTAATATCGTCAGAAAGTACAACCCCTATAACCCCGAAAGGTTGTGTTATAGGACCATGTTAGGACATATTTTCAATGCTGATTCCAAATCTACAATCAGAAAAGTTGTACCATGTAACGATTAGAAATAGCAAATGTCTGAAAATGGGACGAAAACTTGTCTGGACCATTGCTGTAACAGGAAGAGTTGAACTTTTTTAAATCTTCATATTTGAGGAATCATAGCTCATCATCATTTCTCTCATATACAGTTATAAACTTATCAGAACATATTTGGCTAAAATACAACCATCCAAATGAGCCTTTTTTTAATGGCTCACCCCTCCCCCATCCCTAATATCACAACAAAAATTGTTTGATCTCCAGTATGTTGAAGAGTGTTCCTAATGATATTATAACAACTTTCAATGTCTACTAAATAATATTTAGAAATTCATGTTCCTTGAATACCTATGTTTTAACCCCGGTTTTAACACATCCTCAATTGACATAAATACACCTTTAGCCGTATTCGCATCAAGGATTAAATTTGACCAAGACTAACAGGAAAATTCCATAGTTTTGCAATGTGTTTGGTATTAGCATGTGTTCAGAGATATTGTACTAAAAGTCATACTGTACTATTCATACTGAATTATCTAGCTCGGTAAAAATAGCCTGGTCAATCTTCATGCATCTGGGCACACTTCGCTCAGCAATAAAGCTAGCCGAGATGCTGGTTAGCCAGTGTGAACAAGGATAAAGATTGGCAGGAAAGTATCTAATCACAATTGATCAGTAGTGAATTAAAATGTTGTCACAAAATTGCTAAGTCTATTTATTTCAAATAAACACCAAAACCAGACCTAAATAGTAACAGGCCCTTGTCTGTGAGAAAATGCCAAATAAGAAACTGATCATTTGCATAATAATTAAGCTATTCAGTGGAAATTTTTAAAATACTTTATTATATAAGCCTCAAATAACATCCTTGTGAGTACATAAACTTGACAATTTATTCAATAACATACTTCATTGCCACTAAACTGAATAGCCCTACTAATTCTGGCTTTGTATATAAAGTTGCATTGTTTAATCATTTATATTTTTTGTAAAAAGTTGACTCATTATTTTTTCGGTAACTAAATGACATATTTATTGGGTTTAATATTTCCGCATTTTGATTAATAAAAAATGAGGCAAAAGTAAATTTGAATGAAAACATATGTTCATAGTAACCCATTTGACCATATTAAACTAGATTTTAATATAATTTCAAGATTTATCTTAGTCTATTTTTGTAAGTTTTTTTGTGTAATTTTATCAAAATAAAAAAATAATTTATTGACATATTTTAATTAATATTTAACAATACTTCTGATTTGTAATTTTAAAATCTGAGTTTACATCTTGAAAGCATATGTTTTAAGCTTTAATTAGACACCAAAACTGTAAATATAGAATGAATATGAAAATTTAGGTGCTTTGTCCATTTTGCATGGAATTCGTAAATGTATTAAGTTAATAGTACTGAAATTTAAGGTATGTAAAATGTAATTTAATTGCTAGTCATAGTATTTTCATTTTGACTATTCATGTCTTCACAGAGTTTCGTGAAATGCTGGTGCAACTTTCTGATGCAATCAGCCAGAATGATGAAAAGTATATAGACATGTTGAGGGTTCTGTACACAGATCTAGTAGTTGTTAAAAGCAAGCTAGAGGAAGCTAAGTCTGCCTTTGAGTTATTCCAATTACTAATAGCACCAGGCATTTTGAAGCCTACAGACATTTCAGTTTTGTTTGAAACAATTGAACTAACCAGATTGAGATATTTGAAGGAGACAATTGAGAAGTATGAGAAATATCCTGATGAAGTGAATATTACTCAATTTTCAGCACATCGTCAACGTATTGTTGCTCTTGGAAGAGGCTTTTCAGTTGAAGATGTCCAGAAGCTTAGTAAATTATATGGGGGCAAGGTTTCTTCTAATCCATGGAAATTGATTCAGCATCTTGAATATACATCTACAGTTTTAACAGAAGATAACATGCCATCATTTACTCAACGTTTGAGAGCCAATAATGTAAATGAAGGTTAGTGAAACCATGGAGGAATAATCTTTTTTTTTAAATACTGTACCCCATGTATGTAGGAAGTGAGTTTTAAGAATTAAGTCCAAACTTTAGAATTAATATTTCGTAAACAATTTGAAAGTCCCCATTGAATATTTTATCAATGAAATTTTATGTAATAATTTATTTACTATCTAAATATTTGTATGGACTGTATTTCTATTCTTATTGTAGGTTTCAACCAACTGCTTTTGGAAATTTCTGATGCAATCAGCAAAGAAGATGAAATGTACGTAGACATGTTGAGGATTCTGTACATAGATCTGGCAAACATTAAAACAAAATTGGAGGAAACTAAATCTGCATTTGAATTATTCCAGTTACTGAGAGTAGCAGGCGTTCTGAAGCCAACAGACATTTCAGTTTTGTTTGAAACAATTGAACTAACTGGATTGAGATATTTAAAAGAGATAATTGAGAAGTATGAAAAATATCCAGATGAAGTGAAGATCACTCGATTTTCTGCACATCGTCAACGTATTGTTGCTCTTGGACGAGGCTTTTCAACACAAGATCTTCAGAGGGTTTGTCAGATGTATGAAGTTCCTGTCAACATTTCTTCCAATCAGTGGAAAGTAATTAAATTTCTTGAAGAAAGAGGTTTTGCTTCAGAAGATAATTTGCCAAACCTAAGGAAATTAATAAGTGTTGGTGAGTATGATAATTGAAGATTAATTTGATTTACAGTATCACTGCATAATTATTCTACAACATTCTTGCAAATAAATTGAGTGAGCCATATCTAAGAGATGCCATGTCCCTCTGAACTCAACCACTGAAGATTTATTTTATTTGAATTTTTAACAGTGTCATGTGGGGTACCCTTCCACTTTCTTGAATCTGATAACTAGGAACCATCAATAAATTCATTATTATCAAGAAATATATAATATACTGTAAAATTTGTGCATGTGTACTTGTTTATCTCTAGTGTCACTGTTGTACTGTATATGAATGTTCTATCAAGTTGTCATTTGAAAAAAGAGTGTAAAAGGCAAACCATGTTATTTGATGCATGAACATTAGACTTAAAGCAACAACACAACAGTCTGTACACAAATTTCAGTCAACATCTAGATACGAGATACGAGAAGCTTTATTGCAATTTTTTTATCATAAAATACAATAAATAGAAGTTGGGAGATCATCTCTGTCAATCCATGGAAAGTAAATTACATTTCTGGAATTAAGGGTATTGTTTTCATGGTTTCAAATTTGAAATGCTTGTATGACAATTAAACAGTGCAAAACTATACTGAAAGTCATCTAGGGCGTTATTAATTTATTGATGATGACTATAGTCTCTATCCAGAATATGTGCATGACGGGGTCAGAGGTTGTCTCAGAAGCTCTAACTTTTTAAATTTTTTGATTTACCTTATTAAAACCTTCACAGTACCATTCATAACTGAAAGATGGTAATGGTAATGGTTGTAAATTTACTTAGCACAAAATTTCACATTTTAAGACTGTACATGTAATGACAATATTGATTTTTTTTAAATTTATTTGATGGGTTTATTATAAAATACTCAAAATACAACACATGGTTAAAGTTACTGTAAGAGTTTACAAAAGATCAGTATAGAAAATATACAGTAATAATGAAAGTAAAATAAAAAATGATATACAATAAATAGAATTCAAATGAATTATTTAATTTTATTTTACAATTGAGATTGAAAACAGAAACATTAATAAGAGTTACAATTGTTGGAGTTATAAATTACTGTACTGAATTACATTATAATTTTTTTTTTGAAGTGTATGTGGTGTACTGTAGTTGCTACTCAAGTTGAAATTTTGTATTTTCTTTTTTACATTAGGTGACAAAGAAGCATCAACATCAAAAAGACCAAAGTTAGTTACAGTAGGTGACAAAGAAGCATCAACATCAAAAAGACCAAAGTTTGTTAAAGGTAACTGTTTGCTGAATTCATGTATTATTGTTGGGAAATCACTTTTCAGAAACAGAGACCTGTAGTAGATTTTCTATTACTATTCTTTCTGTTTATTTATTCGTTTGTTCTTTTTCTTTTGCTTAATTTTTTATACCTGCGTTTCTTTCTCTAATCGCTCTTTTATTTTTTTGGTATTTTTTTTCTCAGATATCAAGTTGCAATTTTTCACATTTTCATTTGTATATTATTTGGCAATAAGTGTTGATTCTATTTAATTGATTTTTAAAATTGATAAAGGTGCAAGTTATACAGTATAAACTGCACTGTACCTGTAAATGGTTATTGTTTGAAGCTTTTCAGGAATAACATTGGTAAATGCTTAATAGTCTAGACATCATTATTTATAACAATTTTTTATGATTTATTATCCAATGGCTAGAGAGAAAACAACTTTTCTAAAGTGGATATGCGTGCCATATAAATAAATATAACAATTTTATCAAAACTCAGTTCCTTTCAATTATAGCCATTAATGGGAGATTACCAGAAAATATATTAGTATTGTGAGATATTTAAAGTATTATTATTCCAATAAAATCTGTATTGTCCCTTTTCTACTACCATAATATTAATTAATGTAAAAGAAATACAGCTATATAATATAAATACAATTAAAAAAAAAAGAATAATAATAAAAATAATATTTATTTTATTTATTTTATTTTGTTTATCTTTCTTTTGAGGGAGGATACAGTAGGCTATCTGTGCTCCTGTAGGTCATAAACCAGTAAGTCCTCACTTCTAATTGCTGGTAAATGGTGGTAATGCTGGTTCCTCTGGTTAGTTTGTAAGAAATGTAGACTGGCTTGGTTTTCAGAATTTTTCTTTTTTAGTCTTTTCTTTTTCGGCAGTATATTCTCAAGCATCTTGAGCACTTTTTAAAATGGATATGAGCAATATAATTATACAAATCTTATTATTATCAGGGGTTTATTTAAGAGCCGGCGGCCGGCGCATTCGATCGGCTACTACGATGTTTTCGCCGGCTACTTCAATCAATGCTGTACAAAAATTGATACAAATACCACCAATATAAATAGCGAAACAGGCCTGTAAAGAACCTTATTTACCTACACGAAGTTAATTTGCAATAGTATGCACTCATTTCGATGTTCCTTTCTGTTGAAAGTTCGTTAAAATGTCTACCAATTTTCAGACTCCATTTCATGAACTCGCGGCGTAAACAAAGTTAAAGTTCAAAGTTCGGCAGTCGCGTCTGGGTGAGTCCATCAAAGAAGCCACGCCTCCAAATCACATGTTAGCCAATAAGATAATAGAAATTTCTCCTCCACCACATGCTCAGGTGATGACGATATACATCGCCCAAACTCTTACTGTACATTGGGCTTCCGAGTTTTCTTACCGCGGAGAAGAAAAAAACAGATCGTCGTTTTAAAATTAATTTGTGTATGACTATGAACCTTTTATTTTCATTTCATTTTTATTTTACTAGCCCTCTTTGTGATGACATAGATATTTCGGAAATGATAAATAATTAAAAAAAAACCAACACTGGCTCAAATTCGTTTACGTTCGGTGGCGGAGGTAGCAAGCCGAACCAACTATATTGAATGCTGTTTACACTCACAATTTCAGAGTCATAGATAGTACAATGATTAAAACGGCAGAGCAAGTCAAAATCGTCTAAATTCACATCACATGAGACATTTTTTTTTCCAATGTGGTATCCATTCCTTTTCGATATCTGCGTAAATTTTAGAACTATTTTTTGCTCTCCTTTAGATTTCAACATGTTTGTGAAAAGTAAACAACTTCATCATTATAAAAATTGTATTTTCAATTTTTTTGGTGATATTATTAAATGTGTATAAACTTAAAAAAGAATGTATTTCAATTATTGAATCAATATTCTGACCTTAAATTCCGATGTTGAGCTGTAAAAATTCGTAAATTCAGGCCTACAGTATTCTAACCTACTCAGTAAGTATACTAATCAAGGAAGTTCTGATCATCACTGCATGTGACCATTTCTCTACATCAAAAAACTGTTTAAAAAAAAAAAAAAAATGATGTAGAGAAATGCCATCAAATGGGCTTAAAAAACTCTAAAACCCTGGAGCGCAATGGCGCTTCCGCCCCTTGACCCCCGACCAGGGCTCTGCCCCTGGACCGCGATGGAGGCCTAGAGGCGGCCCTCCTTACCCCCGGCCTATTTCAATTTACTCTCCTGTTACTTTCAAATTTCTCCTGCTACTCAAATTCTTAAATAAACCCCTGATTATTATTATTATTATTATTATTATTATTATTATTATTATTATTATTATTGTTATTATATTATTATTATTATATTATTAGTATTATTATTATTGTTATTGTTGGTTTTTTTTTTTGTATCTGTATAATGTTATTAATTAATATAAACTGAATAATAGATGAAAAATATAATTACAGTACAATTACTGTACAGTAGGCTATAGTAATTTTGACTTTGAAGTTATAAGAAGTATTTTATATTTATAAGAAATAAGAAGTGATGATTTCCTGAAATTCTTTTATTTTTCTTTAATAGTTCAAAGCTATTTTTATAATGCTTTTGTTTCTATCTTAGAATTTTCCTATGAAAAGCAATAAATAATACTTGCAGTACTTACATGATCCCAAATAGTTCACTCTAATATGTACTTACAGGTAAATCAGGAAAATCAAGACAAAAAAAAAGGCGAAGACTTGATGAAGGTTTGTATCTAAATTCATGATACATCTGTATACTGTCATAATATATATTCATTGATTGTAATAAAATATTAATACATTTTTATTTCTAAAGATTTTCTTTCTTAATCTGGGCACTCACAGCATCATACGACCCTCGGCCGACAAATCAAACTCCGCTCCTGTGAAGCTTAGACGAAGCAACGCCATCTGCTGATTGTCGGTGGCAGTCTGAAAAGATTCTCATTAAAAACGATTGGTTGTGCGTACAACATGGCGTTGCATTCTCCATAGAATCGCGTTGACCATCAGGTGCAGTGGACAGTTCATTTAAAAGAACAAATTCCTCAGTAACCTGAAAAACAAAAAAAAAATCCTTATTGATATTATTGTAATACTGCAATTGTAGTAAATAAAAATAATAATGCAACATATATAGTGCTATTTCATTAAGATCAAGAGCTCATTAAGTGTATACACTGTTGAAGGATTTAGCTAGACTCTAACAGGGCCGGCGGAACGTTTTTCAAAGTGGGGGGGCCCCACTTATAAGCAGGCCAGTAACAGGGGTCTTGGGTCCTGGGGGGGGGGCAAAGGTAATACTTTTCCCGGTTAGTAATTTATGACTTGGTGTGATAAACCCCCCCCATATAGAAAACAATACGGCATGGCTTATTTTAATATTAATATAGGGCACACGCGTGTGTTTGGAACTAAATATAAGCATTTTCATCGTGGTTTTATTTATTACAATTCATAGGCCTATTCTTTCACCATCATTACACATTGAGGCCCTTCTTTTTGGTAAAATGATTTATATTAAATTTTCTTTCTCAAGTTTTGGGACTATTATGTTTTAAAATAACTTAGAAGGCAAAGGAGGGCAAGCACAAGCTTCAACCTTAACAAATGCGCGCGAAAATTTTTTTTGTGCTTTTAATTCTAATTTCGTCGGAATTGATCAAAACTCCCTAAATGTGCAATT